TGTTGTTTATTATATCTTGTTGTTACCTACCTAGGTAATAGATTGGTTGACCATAGATTGGTTGACGACACATCCCATTTCTTATCTAGAGATAAGAAGAATTAATCTAGCAAAGATGATTGCAAGGACCACAAAGGATTTTTGAAATTGTACTCATATTTTTGCTTTCTTCTCACACCAAAGGGAAAAAATGCATTTCTTTGTCACCCGGCCCATTGCCTCTTTCATTTCCTGATTCCTTAGAGAATATATCATAGGATTAAGGAAAGGAGTGATTGTGGTATAAAATACAGAAATCACCTTGTCCAGACTGGAGTTGAAGATGGGGACAAGGTACACAAAGAGGCAAGGCAGAAAAAAAAGGCTGACCACTGTCAAGTGAGAGCTACAGGTGTACAGAGCCTTCCCTCCACTCTCTCTGAGGTGGCCTTGAAGCGTGCTCAAGATGATGCCATAGGAGATCAGCAAGATGACAAAACAAACCAGAGATATCAGGCCACTATTGGCCACCATGAGTATCTCAGTGACACGGGTGTCAACACAAGCCAGTTTGACTACCTGTGGAACGTCACAAAAGAAATTGTCCAGTTCATTCGGCCCACAGAACGGCAGCCTCAGGACCAGGAACAGCTGGCTGGCAGAGTGGAGGAGGCCTCCAGCCCAACAGAGACACAGGAGTCTGATGCAGTGTGGACGGTTCATCTTCATTGTGTATGTCAGTGGGTGACAAATGGCCACATAGCGATCATAGGCCATGAGAATAAGAAGAAATGCCTCTGAACCTCCAAAGAAGTGTAGAAAAAAGAGCTGGGACATACAGTCCCTATATGAGATGGTTCTGCCACAGGTGATCATATCTGTTGCCATCTTGGGGACAACCACTGAACCCAAGGCAGTATCAAGGATGGATAAATTAGCTAAGAAAAAATACATGGGTGACTTTAGAAGGCGTGGATCTATATGCACAGTCAATACAATGAGGAGGTTGCCCAACAGAATGGCAGTGTAGCACATCACAAAGAGTACAGATAGAAGAAGCTGGATATATCGAGATCTGGAAAGACCCAGGAAGACAAATTCTGTGACTCTGGAGACATTCATGGAGGCAACAGGACCTTACAAAGAGAAAAGAGAGTTATTTAGCTTTACCACTTTCAGCACCTTTTCCTACTAATCAGTGATAGCATGGTACAATGAACAATGGTGCTTTTTAGGTTTGAGGTTTGAATAGATCCCTGGTGCCATGTAATGCAAAGAGAAATAATGGTTAACTTGAATATCTATTGCAAGAATGATTTTATAGTAGAAAGAGGTGGC